TTTTGTTTTTAATTACTAGATATAAGCAATAACCTCTGCAGTTTACACATTCTTTACACATTTTAGTCACCTATACCACAAAACTCACTGAAGCCTGAATTGTGTCCCCCAAGTTTTATGTATTTGAAACTTGGTCCTCACATGACTGTTAAGAGGGTGGGAAATCCTATATGGTAATTGAAAGGTGGAGCCTTGAAGTGGTGATTAGATTGTAGGACCATGCTGTAGTGAATGGATTAAAAATGGTGGTCAGGGACATGGTTCTGAGGGCTTTAAAAGGACAGAGAAGAGAGTCTGTCTCTCTTGGACTCTCTACTCCATCATTTTCACAATGTGATACTCTGCCATCACTGTTGCCACCACAAAGACCTTCACCAGATGTGTTCCTTGGATTTTGGACTTCCTAGCCTTTGAAACTGTAAGCAATAACTTCCGTTTTCTTATAAATCACCCGGTTTCAGATATTTTGTTATAAGCAACAGAAACGGACTAATACAACCTCCTAAAGTCTTAAAAATAGTACATAATGCAGTTTTCTTAATTGATGAAATATTATATTGAGTGGGTTAAAATTGTACAATAAAAAATAGTGGTCACCTCTGATGGGGGGTATAGATGGAAGCATTAGGGAACTAAGATATATATCTCAATGTGGTAGTAGCAATACCATATATTTTACTGTACGAATATATATTGTTTTATGTTATACCTCAATATAAAAGTTCAAAACACACACATACTCAAAAAATAAAAACAAAACAAACCAGAAAGCAAGAAAAACATACTCAACTCTCATGGTTATCTGATCCTGATTGCTCTGTAGAGCCAATATTGCCAGTTCCTTCTAAACAGCAAAACACATAGCTAGTCCTTTCTATTTCTAGGGTAAGAAAGGCATTGTAACCTGTTGAAGGTACACTGACAGAGTTCCAAAAGGTTTCCTTAGCAATGCTCATGTATTTTTGTATATATGAAGATTGTCTCTCCATAAGTAAGAACTGAATGATTTACTGAATGCTTATGACTGCAGGTGGCATACTAATTGAGCAGATGGAAAGAACAGTGGCTTTAAAAGAAAGTAAACCAGGAAAATATGAAGAATTTCACTGTTCAAGTAATTTAAATACTTCTGTCAAAAACATCCCCAATCAGTGGTTTACTCAGGTACAAAAAAATGCAACAATGCTGTTGACTCTGCTTTTCCCTTTTATCCCTTTCCATCCAAATTGCCAAACAGACTTTACTTGATTTCCCAATCCTGCCCATATTCTTTCCTATTTCCCCTGCAGTATCTCTAGCATAAGCTTCTATTATCTCTTGCCAAGTTACTGTAAAGTCTTCTTAATTCTAGTATTTTTCTCTGAGAAACACATTTTCTATTGTGCACTATAGTTATTTCTATACATCATATCTGCCCTGTACAATCCTCCAAAAAAATTTATTCACCTGGTAACTTCAGTTACCATCTGCAAAGTAAGACTTGAAAGAAAGGTTTGATTGCTTTATTATACAAGTAGAATGAACTGAACAATTAAGACAGTGCAGTGGATTAAATGTGTCTCCCAGAAGTTCAGATATTAGAAACTTGACCCCATTGTAACAGTGCTAAGAGGGTAGGAAATTTGATTATGCTATTTGAAAGGTGGGTTCTTTAAGAGGTGATTAGATTGTGAGGACTGTGCCCTTGTGAATGTATTGATCCATTCATGGAGTCATGAGTACAGTTCTGATGGCTTTAAGGAGAGCAAGTGAAGAGGTTAGATCTCTCTTGCTCAGCCCATTCTTACCATGTGACACTCTGGCTGCCACAGGACCCTGTGGAGTTACCACTAAGAAGGTCCTCACTAGATGCACCCGCTCAGGCTGTGGACTTCCCAGGCTCTGAACTGTAAGAAATAAATTTTGTTTTCTTATAAATTACCCAGTTCCAGATATCCTGTTATAAGCAACAGAAGCAGACTAAAACAGACAGTGAATAAGAGTTTCATTTAAAGCTTATTTGTCGGGCCGAGCCCGTGGCGCGCTCGGGAGAGTGCGGCGCTGGGAGCGTGCAGTAGTGCTCCCGCCACGGGTTTGGATCCTATATAGGGATGACTGGTGCGCTCACAGCGCTCACTGGCTGAGCACGGTGCGGTGCGGCCGGTCTCAAAAAGGACAAAAAAATAAATAAATAAAGCTTATTTGTCAAGAATAAAACTCTCAACCCAAAGAAAAGCAAGCTTCCCCAACTGAAAATTTAGCATAAATGTTTAGAAAAAAGAAAAAAAAAAAAAAAAGCTAGAAAAGAGACTGCTGAGTATGTACGATTTGAACAGAAAGAGAATAGAACTGAGGAGATACTATTATCAGGCCATTTTGAAGAAGAAGACATTTAATATATAGGACTGGGGAGAGGGGTGGGTCTCAGGATATACATGAATGAAGGGTGGAAAATAAATTTCATATAGAGCCTTAATAACCACAACTATCACATTCCCACAAATATGAGGGTACTTCAGAAAGTTCATGGAAAGATTTGTATTATCTTTCGACTCTATTTCTCCATAAACTTTCTGAAATACCGTCAAACTCTCAGTGTCATTGTTCAATAAGTATCTGTCAACTGGAATGACTTCAATGGTAACTGGAAATAAAATTTAAAGTTCTTTTTCCAATGGAAAAACAGAAAGTGGGACTATTATTGATTACAAAATAGAATTCCCTCCTTGTCAATTAAGAATGTCCTCATTCTGTGGAAAATCTGCTTTTGTGATTAATGAAAGAGGAGAACTAACATTCATTGACCATCTACTATGTACCAAGCACTGTCTAAATAACAGCTTACCTAACACAAACCCATGAGAGGCAGATATTGTCCTCGTTCTATAGAATGAAGCACAGAGAGCAAGCAAATGTCTCCATGTTCCTACACCTAATGACTTGATTCAAACCTAGGTCTATTTAACTCAAAAACCGAGAATACCTCACTAAAGCATTCTTAGTAACTTCAGTGATGATATTATAATTTCCAAGATAAATTTCCAGCCAGTTGCACTGAAACAGGGAAAATGCAATGAGGCTTATCAAGCAATTTTTTTGATATGATTAATTACACTGATCTGCAGGCAGGAATACCTATGGGACATGTATTTATTTTTTGTTCTGATTCCCTTAAACAAATATATATTTGTACCTACTATGAAACAGATATTACCCTGGGTGCTAGAAAACACAACCAATCCAGTATACAGAAACCCTATGCTTGCTGCTCAATTGTCAGGAGTTTGTACATATGCTTACTCCTGAGGAATGCAAAGGGACTAAGGAGGCAGAACCCCCATAAGACTTGTCCGATTCAACAGATATTACCCTGGGTGCTAGAAAACACAACCAATCCAGTATACAGAAACCCTATGCTTGCTGCTCAATTGTCAGGAGTTTGTACATACGCTTACTCCTGAGGAATGCAAAGGGACTAAGGAGGCAGAACCCCCATAAGACTTGTCCGATTTGTTAGCCAACGCCAGGCACAACTCAAATATTTGTTGAATGAATGGAAATTAACATTCTTTGAGCACTTAATATGTTCAAAACATGGCTCTAGACAATGTATGTTCTATCACCTCACTGGACTCCTAAGAACAACCAAAGGAGGTTAAGGTTTCAGCATTCCATTTAAGAGATGAGGTTGCCGATGAGGTTCAGATTCACCCACCCAGGATTTAAAGAGACTAACCTCAAAGCTCAGGCTCTCCTCACACACATCACATCCCACTTGAGAAACCTTTCAATTTTATACATATTGCTTCGGTGAGACTTTTGAAATGCCCTCTAGATCACCATTTTGATAAGAATGTATCTTAGGCTACTTTGCACTTTGCTTTAAAATATTTTCTAGAACTGAGCAATACTAATATAATCTACTTTCAAAATTAAAGTGTTCTCAAAAATTACTAGGAAAATACAAAAACTTGACAGAGCAGGATAAAGTTCAAAACTATGAAACAGCCCATTTTACGGACTTTTAGAGAAATGATATCTTTAGGAAATCAACACGAATGAGTTCTGCTATGTCAACTGAAAAAGAATGTCCTACAATTTTTAAAAAATCATACCAAAATTTCAAAAACCATATGAACTAGTACAGTACACAATATCATCAAATTAAGTTTGTAACTCTCTGAAATAGGTTAAAGAATATTACAAGGCTCCAAAAATAAAATGTACCTGAACTCAGTAAAATTTGAAAAACAAGGCAGGAGCAAGTAAGAAAAAGGGAAATAGGAGTGCAGTGTGACAGCCGGTTCTAAAATCGAACAATCTGTACCATCTCTGGCAACTGAAAGTCAGGCCCTGAAATATGACACCAGTGGGACAGTTAAAAAGGTGGCGTGAGGTCCCTTGAATGACTCAAAAGGAAAGCGTCTCATAACTAAAGTGGTTTAATTTCGGATTACCCACCTAAAATCGGTTGATGGGGGGAATAAAAATCATACCCACTGCACAGATGAGAAAAACACGAGCGTTTCAAGTTACACAGTCCGACGCGTTGCGCACGGCGTTACGTGAAACGCTCTAAGTCGCTGGAGGTGGCTGCCAGGGGGGCTGGGATTCAGACTTGGGAAAAAATCTGCCTCGAGAGCTGCGAGGCCTGTACAGGGAGGGTAGGAAGGCAGGGCAATCTCCTCGCGGGAGCGGGGGGTGGAGACGGGGGTTTCCTGGGCCGGTGTCCCGCCGGCCGGTCCCTCACGCGTGAGCGCGGCATGGCGAAGGCTGCACGCCCTCGCGGTTTTCTCACCCGAGGTCACCCTGACCCGGAAATAGAACCGCAGAGTAGCGGTCGGGAGTGCGGGGAGGCCGGGCGGAGGGGCGAAAAGGAAGGTGGGAGGGCGAGAAGTGCAGGGTGAGGCAGAGGGCTGACAGGGAAAGGCAGATGACACCCCTAAGGCTGGGGTTGGGGTCAGGGTGGGGGTAGGGAGAGGAAAGCCCCTCGCGGGCGCGCGCGAGCCGCACACACTCACCTGCCCCTCCCCCTCCCCGCCCGCCCGGCGGAGGTTCCGAGCTGCCGCGGACCGCGCGCGCACACAAGGCGAGCGCGTGCCGCGCTGCCAGTCGCTTCCCCGAGTTCGCGCTCCGCCCGTTCAGTCCCAGCCGCGCTCATTCAAAGCCGCGCGCGCGCTCCGTCGTAGCCGCCGCTGGCGCCGCGCAGCTGCCATAGCCACCCGCTCCTCGCGAAACCCTCCCCCAACCCCTCCCCTTTGGCCCTGCTCTAAGGAGGCTCTCTTGTTGTCCCCAGGCCCTCACTTCCGCACCCCGCCCCAGTTCCGGTCTGGCCCAATAGGCGAGAGGCTACGGGTCCGACGTCGCTGCTGGGAGCCAATGAGTGCCTGGGGGCGGGGAGAGCGGCGGCAGGCACGCACAGGTTTGGCAGGGGGTAGAGTTTTGTGACCGTTTTGAGCTTTGAGGAGTCTTTCGTCTCAGAGTGCTTGGGGCAGTGGCAGGCTGCCTTACTTCCGTCTATGAAGAGCGCCTCTCCTCCAGCCGAACCCTTTAATGTTCCGTCCCTGCCAGATTGGACCAAGGAGAAGAAATGTTTAGATTGCAAAAAATGAAAACCCCGCCGTCTCAGGGTAATTTGGACGTGGTTAAGACAGATTCCAATCGCTTCGCCACCTGAAGCATGCGAATCGCTGAGTTTAATTCAGGACTTAGTCTCTTCCAAGTAATTTTTGATTGAATTTCATTTAACTGGAAGTTAAGTGCCACTTCACTGCGTCCCTGCATTTTTTGCTCGCATGCAGCCTGGGCTAGCCATTTTCCCAAACTTAGGTGTTCTTTCTTTCGATGGTTCTCTCTCTTTTCGAAATCCGGTTGTTCCCCCCCCCCTTTTTAATCTTGCTTGCTCTTTAAAGGCTATAGTCCTTTGCTATTATAGGCGAACGACCCTCAGAAAACTCCAGTGTTGCAAAGTGACTGGTGAGGGAGAATAGAACTTAATATAGTCAAAGGCTGAAAAGTTTATGCAAATTGTATCTTAATCATGCTTTTTCTTTATATGACTCTCTCTTAACTACAGCTACCTTTGTTCTCTCACCCTGACCCCGCACCCACCTACCCACTTAGTTTTGTAGTGATCCCCCCCACCCTCCGTGCTCCA